GATTTTTGGGGAGGGGAAGAGAGAGGGAAGACAGAGGAGAAAATTTATGTGAGAGAAACCTATGATTGTTGCCTCCTACAAAGAGTACTTACAGGACCCAGGCCAGGGGAGGAGCCTACAACCGAGGTACATATATATATATTATATATATATAATTTTAGCATCATGATAACGCTGTAAGGTATCCATTATTATTATCCCAGTGTTACTGATGGGGAAACTGAGTCACAGAGAGAGTAAGTGGACTTGGCCAAAGCCATACAGCTGGTAAGTGGGAGAATTTGAACTGGATGTTCTGTTGCAGACTCCATGCACTTCACCACCACACTAAAGCCTCTTTCTAATCAATACCTTTTAACTTCTATACTCTATCATATCATTTACATTTTCATTACAACAGAGTAATATTGCACACATTTATTTTTAGTTTTTGGTAGCATCTAGCATAAAGTTAGTGCTCCATCAATACTGATTATTAGAAATCGAATCTTTATATGATTCTATAAGCCCTGGGAGGTACATACCCCCCGAATATACTTTACTGACATTTATAGCAATCGTGAGAGATAGGCTGGTTTAGTTAACAGGTGAGAAAAAGTGAGATGCGCCCTGGCCGGTTTGACTCAGTGGATAGAGCATCGTCTGTAAACTGAAGGGTCCCGGGTTCAATTCCAGTCAAGGGCTCCATCTCCAGTAGGGGGCATGCAGGAGGCAGCCAATCAATGAGTCCCTCTCATCATTGCTGTTTCTATCTCTCTCTCCCTCTCCCGTCCTCTCTGAAATCAATAAAAATATATTTTTAAAAAAGGAAGAAAAAGTGAGATGCAAAAGAGTTAAGAGACTTATTCTAAATTGTACATTAAACAGCAGTGCCTGCCCTGAAGCAAGACCACCTGACTCCAAGGCGGCACTTCTCTGTACCAGCCTTTCTGGGTGTCTCCAGGGTGAGGCCACAGCAGGGATATGGACAGAAAATGAGGAGCATAAGAAAAGCAGATGCCTCTATGAATAGCTCCCTTACCTTTTGCATATAACTTGCAACAATAAAAATGCAGTTATTGTTGCAGGTGATTGCCCCACTTATTTATGCATTCATTGGTTGGTTCTTCTATGTGTCCTGACTGGGGATTGAACCCGAAACCTTGGTGAATGGTGAATCAGGACGATGTACTAACCAGCTGAGTTATCCGGCCAGGGCTCCTTGTCTTTTACATATTTTTTAATTAAATAAAAAGAAAAGACTGTGGCCAAAAGCCCGGCCCCCGCTGTCCTTAGATGCCTGGAGACCCATCTGACACTGCAGGGGGCTCCCTGTGAGCGCTCATCCTCACCCTCATGGACGGGTACCTGTAACTATTTAACAATACGCCTCGGAGACCCCAGCTGTCAACAAGCCGCTTCCTGACCTGCTGCCCGCGCCCTTGTCCTGGGCACGGCTGTCCTTGCTGGCCGCCTGGGCCGCCTTCCTGCTGGCTTCCTCCTCCGTCTCACTCAGGCTGTCCGCGGGAGAAGCTCTCCTCCAAGCTGTCCCGCTCCATGTCGCTGTCC